CAGTAGCCGTAGCAGCAGTAGCAGTAGCAGTAGCAGTAGCAGTAGCAGTAGCAGTAGCAGTAGCAGTAGCAGTAGGAGTAGCAGTAGGAGTAGTAGTAGTAGTAGTAGTAGTAGTAGTAGTAGTACCGCAGCTACTACTAGTAGTACTGCTGCTACTAGTAGTGGGAAGTTTCGCTCATCTCCATTCAGCCTCCCCAAATCCGGCGCCCTCCCTACCTCGCGGCCGCGCTAAATCCCACCCGTTTAAGGGTTTAGGGTGTAGATTAGGGTTTAGGGTTTAGGGTTCAGCTTAGGGCTTAGGGTTTGGGATTTAGGGGTGTAGGGTCGCCTGCCCCAAACTCAGGTGGTCCAATCAGATCATGGCTGGAAGCCAAGGCCGCAAATGGCTTGGGTTCAGGGATTGTGGGGAAACACTTCCCAGGGTACTCGCCAGCGAACCTTCCAGCGAAAACGGTTTAGTTTTTAAGGGTTCAGGGCTTGGGGCCAATAAGGGTTTAGGGGATGTGCCTAAAGCCCTAAGCCCCAGACCCTAAAGCCTAAATTCACGGAAGTCGAGGTTGGTTCTAGGACGGTGCCGCGTTAAAGTCCGGGTGTGGGTGGACGGATAGACCGCGGGAATGACATGCTTGCGTGTCGCGTCCTTTTTTGGGGGGTATATTTTGTTACAACAGCTATACTAAGGAACCCAAAGGAATGATATTATATTGCAGCTGGAAGAAGGAACCCTAGGGAATGATATTGGTAATCCTCCAGCAGCTGTAATAAGGAACCCTAGGGAGTGATATAGGTAATCCTCCGGGAAGTCTTCCGAGCAGGACGCACCAGCCGACCTTCTACCGGATCTGTTTCCGCGCTGCACCGAATACAGGCCTGAAGCTGAGGATGTGCAGAAAAGGGGGCTTTAAAATGACATCCTAGGTAGTACCTAGAGACTCCAAAACCCCTTAATTGAGGAATATACCTTAAATGATACCAGGATCCCCAATAGGATTTAGGGTATATTCCTGAATTAAGGGGTTTTGGAGTCTCTAGGTATTAGGGAGACCCCTTAAAGGGGACTCTTCTTCACCTTGCTTATGGCTCTCTTAAAAGAGACCTTATTGAGAGGGTCTATATTTGCGAGGGTCCCCCTAATCCTATCTCCTTAAAAAACGAGGAGGGCTTTGAGGTCTGTTATAGTATAAGGGGTACAACCTATCATAAGGGTTCCTCTAAGGGTTCTGCAAAGGCTACTAGAAGCGATGCTACAAAGTGTTCTTGATAGCGGGGCTCGGATAGTTTCTCATATTCATCGTTAGGGCCCCCATATTACTCTGTATCTCTCTCTCTCTCTCTCTCTTTCTCTCTCCAGCTAGCTCCCTCTCTTGTGTAGGCGGAGTAGGTCAGACTTGCCGCATTGGTGGTGTCCTGGTCCACCCGTGTTGCCGGAATCTGTAAGACCGAGAGCAGGATTCCCTAAGTAATGGCGCACGGTAATGGCGCACGGACAGGGATCAGCTTGGGTTGGAAAGCATGAAAACCCAAAATCGCAGTCCGCAGCAGCTCTGCAACCTAAACCCTAAACCCCAAACTCTACTCCTAAACCCCAAACCCCAAACCTTATTCCTAAACCCTAAACCCTAAACCCTACAGTCTACTGAGGCTACGTGACAATGCTTCCTTTCGGCGAACGGAGCTGGCCCTCCAGGTCTCGGAGATTCGCCCAAAGCCAGTCGGCATGTCGCTGTGGAGTGCCTTTCCCAGAGAACCCAATACACCTTAATTAAGGAATATACCTTAAATTATAGGGGGCTTAATATTATGATTTAAGGTATATTCCTTAATTAAGGGGTATTGGGTTCTCTGGGTTGTTCAGGACCTCCAGCGATGCCCCCATGGATCAAGTGAGGTGCGGTTGCGATGGTAAGTGTTGGCGTGTCTGAGCCCCAAGCCCTGTACCCGAAGCCTCAAACCCTAAACCCTAAGCTAGAGCAAAGAGGCAGTTGTGAAGGGTACCTTTAGGCCCGGCTTTTGGACTTAGAAGGCTGTAGTAGCTCGTGGAAGCCGCTTGTCTCCGCATTCTGGGCTCTCTTCCCCAAGCGCCAAACCCTAAGCCCTAAGCCCTAAATCCCAAACCCTAAACCCTACCGAGGGGGTTCCTCAATATAAGGATCCTACTAGTATATTTCATAAGGGTAAGGATCCTTCTATTTTGGGTCTATAGAAAGGTTCCTGAATTTTGTTTTGACTCTCATAGAGTCCCTGGATTTCCGGGTTTCTTGAGACCCTTACCCAAACTCCAAAAACCCACTTGTAGGGGCTTACAGACTTAGAAAACTATTTCAGTCTTTTCCCTATACGACTAAGGTATACCATAACATATCAAGCCCTATTGAAATGATTAGGGCTCTCAAGTCCTGAAACCCCCGCAAACCCGCTATAGAATCCATAATATACCCCGCAAGGCCAAAACCCTGTTCGATGATTAGAGCCCCTACATTGTAGAGTCCTGACGCAGCCCCTATACCACTAAGTTGTAGCACATACTACAGTATACCCCAAACCCTATTCTAATGATTGGCGCTCCCAAATCCTGAAACCCCGAATAAACTAGGAAAGCAAAAAAGCCCCGTATTCTAACCCTAAACCCTAAACTCCAAAAACCCTAAATCCTAAACCCCAAACCCTGAATATTGAACCCTATTCTCTTGATCCTTATAAAGCCCTAAACTAAACCCTAAAACCCTAAGCCCCGCTTAAAGAAACCTTTAAGGGAACGTAGGGCCCCTACATTATTCTTCCTGGAGTCGAAGAACGTGGATTCCACGAGGCCGACCCCGAAATCAAGGCTTTCCGGAGCCGGCCCCGGGCCAGAAGCCAAACAGAAACACACGCTGCGACGCGTAACCCAGAGAGCCCAATACACCTTAATTAAGGAATAGACCTTAAACTATAGGGCCCTTATTATTGTGAGTTAAGGTATATTCCTTAATTAAGGAATAGACCTTAAATTATAGGGCCCTTATTATTATGAGTTAAGGTATATTCCTTAATTAAGGGATATTGGGTTTTATGAAGCGTTACGATAAAGGGATACAAGGGATACTGTAAGGGTTCCTAGAAGGTTTAGGGTTCAGGGTCATAGGGTTTAGGGGTCCAAGTGTTCCAACAAGGGATACCACAAAGTATACCGTGAGGATTAGTATGTCTGATGCTGGAAGTGTTTAGTTTAGGGCTCAGGGCTTAGGTTGATTTTCGGGCTTACGGTTTGCGGCTTGAGCTTTTCAACCCGGTTCAAAGCAAACGCCAAAGCGTGTGATCAGAGCTTGAGAGATTCTGCAGTCGCCGAACTCCGGGGGGAGCCAGGAAGCCTCAATTTCGAGATAGGCCCTCAAATCCGCGCCAAAGCTGCGAGACTCGTGTCAGATTCGCTGCTCTGCTACCTCACACGAGCCGAGTCTGGCTTCTACGTGAACTCTAAACCCAAACCTAGACACAAAACGCTGGAAACCCACACCCAGCAGGCACGCTTCGGACTTGTCGAGGGCATTGCGATTCATGGTGTTCGATGCAGTGCTGGGGAATCCGAGTTCAGGGGACGTCATGCAATTAATTACGCTAGATCCCGTTCTGAAACCAGCTGCAGGACCTGAGGCACAGAACACAGGCCGTTCCCGGAACGAAGATGTGAATGCTATACAGTTCGGCTCAAAGTGTCTTGATTGTAGGTGTGACCAAATCTCCGAGATTGCTGGAAGATGAATCAGAGCATTCAGCGGATCCGTGTCGCGAGAATTCATTTGCAAACTCCTATGAAGCATGTTGAGCATGAGCCCGGGGTCTCGAGCAACCATACTGCTACGCGCAGTATCGACAATGGTCGTAGTGTGTGTGTGTGTGTGTGAGAAGTCTTCCCAGCACTAAGAGCTGTGGAAAAGAATCGTAGTTGGAGTCGTTGACGAATTGGTGCAGAAGTGGTAGTGGCAGTGGTAGTGGATAACAGCAGTGTTAGTCGTAGTCATAGTAGCCGTCGTAGTAGTCGTCGTAGTTGCATAGTAGGAGGAGGAGGCGGAAGATGAGAAGTAAGAGTAGGAGTAGGAGTAAGCGTAGGAGGCAGTCGGAGCACTAGGAGCAGGAGACACAGTATTCCATATGAGGGCTGGGATCATGTGGCACTGCAGTGCAGCACGGGAGTTTCGGGGTTCACAGCGTGTTTCTACAGATTTGGAGCTTTGGGGTCCTGCGGTGTTTAGTGCTTCCACAGAGCGTGTAGATGTCACTGTAAGGGCGAGCCTCTTTGATTGCAGGTGGCTGATGTTTCAAGCACGAATCCCGAGTCTGAAAGACAATACCTAAAACCCTGAACCCTAAACCCTCGAGCCCTCAACCCTCAACCCTAGACCCCAAACCCTAAACCCTAAAGCCTTAAACGTACGGGACAACATTGCGGGCTCGAGAAGCTTACCTGCTTCACCGGCAGCATGCTGCCAGGATTGAGTGCCAGCAGCATTGAGACGGCAAAATACAGCAACAAGAGATATATGGGCAGCATGACTCTTGGCTTCAGGTGCCTGGCTCTGGTTTTCTGACATCTAGTCTTCCACAACATGTCGTCGTGCTGCTTCTGGCCCTCACAAGTTGCCATCACGCGCGTTTCACCGATGGGATCACAAAGAAAGGCCCGGAATCGCAAAGACTGACTTGGCAACGTGTTCTTGACCCAAGCAGGCATTGGATTGCCAGGCCACGCACGCATAGGACATGTGCGACATGTGCATACATACCTAAAGACATATACATATACATATGTATGTATAAAGATATATGTTATCCTTTACTAGACTTGTCTGTGCGTGTGTATCTATACAGTCATGCAGTATTTGTCATATCCTATGCTTCATTTGGCATCCAACTTCATCTCCGGACTGTAACTGTGCTGTTGACTTGCCTATGAAAGGTTTCGGATGATTTTCTCTCTCATGACGATGCTCGATGAGGGGAGTGGGGGGTAGGAGGTCCCTGAAACCGTAAACCCTAGACCCTGAACTCTCAACCCGAAACCCGCACCAGCAACGCACTCAGTCAGTGCCGCCTTTGCTTCACCACAGCCAACCCAAAGTGCGCATGCAGACATGTGCACATCATGTACGTGTATGTTGGGTTTAGTTTACGGATTCGGGTTTAGGGAGTTAAGTTGTTTTTATGTGCATTCATGGCATTTATGCATTCGCACAGCAACGTGTAGCTCATTTGCGCGAGTGCAGATGTGTATATGTGTAAACTTGTGTGTGTGTGTACATGTGTATGTAGTATGTGTAGTACATGTATTCGTATGTGTTTTGAGTTTATGTACAGGCGTGTGTATGTGTGGACGTGTGTATGTGAGCATGTAGGTATGTGTGATATGTGAGTTCGTATGTATGTGCGTACGCTCACGTGTATGTGTGTGTATTTGTAGTTGTACATGCATGTGCACGTGCACGTGCATGTACACGTGTATATGCATGCATACATGAATATTCACACGTTTTTGCGAAACTTGGGGGCCACCCGCAAGTCCTTTGAGTTCCCAACAGACGGCGTTGAGGTTTGCAGGTGGGCTCAACAGGCATGAGCTCCCTGCTTGGGGGTTCATGGGTAGTTCTAAGTAGGGTTATAAGTAGGATAACTATAGTTATAACCCATATTACAGGACTATAATAACTACCCATGAGCCCCCAAGTAAAACCCTAAACCCCTCATTTTCGAAACCCCAAACCCTGAACCCTAGACCAGTCCATGAATCGACCGCCTTGGCCGTGTTCCAGTGGTAGCTCAGAGGGCCAAAGCCGCCAAGTACATGCTGGCATGCCTCTTGGCAGAATTCAGTGAATGGTTTAGGGTTTAGGGTGTATAGGATTATCAGGGTTTGATGTAGGGGCTTGAATAATTACCTATACTATTTTGGGGGGTTCCTTTTGATAGATTTAATAATACGATAAAGGAGCCCAAAACCCTATTCAAATTATCAAGGCCCCTACATTAGGGTCTTCATTGACTCGAGTTTTGAGTTCAGGACCCGCTTGCTCGACCCCAGGGCAGAGCCTTTCGGGGGCTACTGCTACCCCGAGAACCCTCAAACCCTTCCTGCAGCACCAAAAACTTACTGTTGTACGGAAACATACATTTTCTATAAGGAATTATAAATATCTTTAAGGAATTCTAAGTAGAGTCCACAGAAAGGAACCATAGAAAGGTATATGCGATTTTGTCCGGCTGCTCTGAGGCCCTCTCATTGGCCTCTCAGCTCTTGAGCAAGGGCCCCGGCAGGAAGGAGGGGGATTAGGGTTTGGGTTTAGGGTTTCGGGTTTAGGGTTAAGGGCTTGGGACTCTCTTCGATTTTAGGTCGAAGAGAGGCCGGCATGTGACGGACCCCATAGGAGGCCGGGCGCCCGCCAGGCAGGAGTTGCAAGAAGCCCACCGAGAATTAGGAAGTCCGCATCATAGATACCCGTGACTGAATAGGCAGTGTCGGATACTTGCTTAAAAGGGCCAAAATAAAAATCTCATATGGCCATAATAAGGGCTTAATATGGCCATAATGAGGCTACCAGGGGTTCTGGTTCTGCTTGTGAGACGACGCAACGCCCCTGCTGTCATGTCCCAAGGTGACATTGCAGGATGGCGCCCCT